GGAGGAGACACCCTGCTCTGAGGGTGGCTCTTGCGCTGCGGATGCAGGCGCAGGGCTCCCCTCCGCGTGGCCGGAGCGCTGGGCCGGGGTCCCTCCGGAGCGGGCGCTCGCGGGGCCCTGGAACGCCTCGGCTGCTTGTCTTGATTTGGACAGCGGCTCCTCTTTGCTAAAACTGGCAGGTTTCACGGTTCACAGCTTTGCGTAGCAGAACGGAGTCGCCGTTCGCAGCACCTCTGCTTTCCACTCCTCGTTTGGAAAGCAGAACGCGAGTTCCGCGGGGCGAGCGCAGCTCCCCGTGGCGCTGCGGGGCTGGGGGAGCCCGGGGGAGCTGCCCGGGCTGCTCCTCGTGCAGCTGCAGCCGGCAGGGCCGCGCTCGGCGCCGTGTCGCCATCTGCAAATTAAACGTTTAACGTTGTTTGAATTCGCTCTTCCCTTCCTAGAGCCACTGGTGCATGGGGGCTGCTCCGATTCCTTGGTTTAAGCCTTGGAAGATGTAAACAATTCCAGTCTGAATGGAACTGGATCCTACCCCCAAATAAATATTTATTTTACTTTTTTAAGACTTGATACAATCCTACTGGCCCTTTAGGTGCTCACTTTGAGTTATTGAGGTTAACTCACTCTAAGCAAACGTGTCACATTCTCAGTTTCCCTCCACGTCATGTCCTTTGCAGGAGGCAGCACGTGTGGGTTAGGAACATCACAGGATCTTCCTTGGAAGCAGTGCCAGCCTGCCCTCTTCCCTGTTAGCTGTAATCGCTCATGCTTCCAATGTGGGTTAATTATCAAAAAAACCCCAAGTTCGATAACAACAGTTGGCAGTTTCGGGTACAGAAGCACTTTACAAAAACACCCGAGCAGTGCTTTTTCCGTTAGTATTGCAGTTCAGCCCTGGCGCGCAGGGGTGCCGCCGCGCAGCCCGTCCGAGCGCCGCGCTCCCAGGGGCGCGAGCGGGTGCGTCAGCGGCGTGCGCGCCGCGTGCGCCTCCACGAGCCTTCCTTGGCTGGGGCTGCGCGAGGCCTTCTGCCACCAGCCCGTCGAGAATCCACCGCACAGCTTGTTTAATAGCTGGGTTTCATCAAGACCAAAGCGTGTCTGAAATGGTTTGGAAAAGCAGTCTCGTTTCCCCCGGTGGATAACAAGGATTGCGAGTCGGTGGAGGCTACCCTGTGCGTGTGGCAGGACCTGTCCTCTCATTGCCTGTGCGAGTCTTTGGGAGAGGAGTGGCAGTTTCCCGGGGGCTCAGAGTGTTTTGGGGCAGCACCGTGCCTGGCGTGTTTGCACCGTGCCGGCCCCCTCCCTGCTCCGCCGGGGCAGCCGCTGCGGTGCCGGGGCAGTGAGGGGCCTGGCGCGAGGGCTGCTCTGTGACCCTGCTGGGCAGGGACACAAAGTCCAGTTCCATGAAATGAAAACCTTGGAGATTCGGTCACCAGCTTCACTGAAAAATCTGGCAACTTGAGGTTTGCGTTTTCTGCTTTGGCAGCACCGTGTGTGCCTGGTAAATGCACGGCCTCTATGGAATAGCCTGCGCCGTTGGGTTTGCAGGAATTTCTGCCGAGTTCCCGTTTCAGACCCCATCTTTGGGGTGCACTGAAATCTTCGGTGGCCCTAAAATACATATTTTTTAATAAGTAGCTGCACCGTGTATGTTTTAGGCCAGAAATCACAGAATCCTCCACTCCCACAACTGGAATACCAAGTAAAGGAAGTTTTTTAGCCCTGGCATAATGCAGTATTTGCAGTTCTGTTTGGGCTTACGCTTTTGCCTCTGTGTGGAGCCGTCCCTATGAAAAGAGAGAACAGAGTTGATTACTACAGCCTTGAAATGACCTAAATTGTTGATTGTAATATTTAATCGGAAAGCAAACAGCCTTTATTTAGAGCATGGTCTTTATTTTGCTAGGTATTTACATTTTGCAGAGTTTTTCCTTAACTCTAATGGATTCTCATTCCAAAGGACTAGTCTTACCAAATACAGCTTTTGGACTAAATGTGCAGCTTGCTTTTTCATAACTTACGTAGCTGCTGGCTATTGAAATGTAGCTTAACTTACTTTTTCAAAATATAACTTTTTTTTTTTTTAATGAGGAATGGTACAATTCCGGGTTTTCTTTTTTAGGAAAGAGGGGGGATGGAATGTGATTAGTGTTAACATATGTTTGAATGGGAACTAAAAACTAATGTTTTTTAATCCTTAACCTACTTAAAATATTGGATATCTATGAAAAGGAAATGTCTGTCAAAATATTTTATATTTAAAAATTAACTATGCTTTATTAGCAAAGGAAATCTTAGTAATTTGTATGGGGATCAGTGCTGAATTATGAAAAAAAAAATCGGTGAGAGCTCTGAGTTTTTGAGCTGCTCCCCCGTCCCTGCTGCAGCTACTTGTGTTGGGTTTCAGGGCAGTGAGGGGCTTCATGCCTTGTAATAAAATGTTAGATGAAACAGTTTCATGTTGGAAACAGAATTAGAAACATATTTTTTATTTCTCACTCTTTATGTCATTGTTATTGAGTGGCCCCCTGAAGCTCCTATTTTGGAGGTATGTTTGTTTCTTTTGTAAACTGTAACCCGCGTGCTTGGGGAAGCAGATCTCAATCCTTCCGCCGGATCCACCACTTGTAATATTAATTCTGATGCCCTACAGTATGTTTAAGAATTAGTAGAAGAAAGACTTGTTTCGTAGCTGCCGCTCTAGCTACTGGGTTGTTTTGTCCGAGACAGCTCTGGGCAGCGCTGGGGTCTACATGTCCGTAATTTGCTTCTGTAATTTGGGGGTTGTAAAGGAAAGGGTTGGACATTGTGTTCACACAGTTTAATGTTTCTTTATTTTCCTTTTTCTTGAAAGCTCTCTCCACCCAGTGACTTCCTTCAGTCTCCAAAGCTAAGACCCTCTCAAGGAATGCCAGTCAGCGACGAGTTGTTTTTTAGTAGAAAAAGGCCATCAAGGAATTTATTTCAGAACCGGGTAGATCTGAGCTCGGAACATTCTTCTGTTTGCCCTGGTGAGTACCAACAGGGATAAGTGTTTGACTAAACAGGCAGTATGTGTCATTTATGAAATAGATTTAGAAGAAACATCAACGTAATTTTGTAGCTAATGGACACGATCTGTCATTTGTTGATTATTTGTTTTAATATTTATTTTCATTTGCTATGAGTAATTGAGTGATAGGCCCAGGTCTTGGTCTCCCCTGAAGCAAGCTGTAATAGCTTGTTCTTACCTTTGGAGAAGCGTATAACCATCCAAAAACTTAAAGCACCGTCTGCCAGTGCTGCTTTCCCCACGCGGATGCTCATTAGCTTAGAAGGATCTGAGTGGCCTGTAAAGGAGCGTGTTTGCAGGGAGCACTGTGCAGCCTGCCCGTTCAGCTGCTTAGGAAAACAGCTGCAGAGAAAGTGCTATTTGTGTTGTCAGCTCTTCAGAGAGCAGGTAAGTGCATAGGTATTCTTGGTTTGAGCATTTTCTTCTTGCTTTATACAACCTGTTAGGGTAGAAAGCTCTCTGAGGGGCAAGCTCTGAAGATTGCTTTGGGTTTTTCAAAACCAGTTCTGTAAGAGACTGTAGGTTTAGTAGTACAGTTAATTTGTGGTACCAGCGTAGACTCAGTATTTGTATCTTAATGGCAAAAAGGCATGTGAAAAAAACGGGCAAGACCAGACTTGATTTATGCTCCGTGCTTGGCAGGGTGCTGCACCCTCTTGCCGGTTCGGGGAGCACTAACATGTGCGGAATGCAAGGTTTACTTACTATTATGCTGGAAGTGACCTCATCCTAAAGAAACTTACTGTTGTGGGGGATTTTGAGGTGATGTCTTGCCTTTATTGTCATATATTGAAAGGAGGGATTTTTCTTTTTTTTCCTTCCTTTGGCCCCCTCCACCTCTGGCAGTTGGAGCGATGCCCTGGCCGAACGACCAGCCGGGCTGGGACCTGTGCACAGTGTTCTGGGGTTGCTTAGGAACTCTTGAAGGAAGCATTAAAAATGTGCAGACTGCTTAGGTGTTACGTGGCAAGTTAGAAAAGAAGTCTTAAATCACTATTAAATATACTCTGTATTTTGAGTTTTATGCCATCTGTTAAGTATTTATCTATTGTTATTTGTGTTTTCCTTTTGAAAGGTGCTGTGGGCTCTCATCAGCCACATATTTCAGGGAAATGTGGGCAACTTGGCTACACACAGATAAATGGGAAGAGTGGTAGCGTGGACTCCGAGTTACAATTTTTAGGATTAAATAATGGTCAGCAAGAGAAAGGTACGTGGTACATTTCTGTGTTGGATTATTTAAACCATTGCTAAAACGCTGTGTCCTGCCTGTGCAGAGGTGGTTGTGCCTCACTGCTGTTTTTCACCCTTGGTTATTTAATTTGCAGCCCACACCTTTGTTTGGCATCTGGCTGCGTCAGGGTAACAGAACCTGAACTTTTCTTGAAAAAACTGTTTTTTTAGGGTTCCATCAATAGCAGAAAGCAGCTGGGTGCAGCACGCCCAGCAGCAGGGCAGGTGTGAGCTGTTTTGGGCAGCGTTTGCAACTCGTTTCCAAAGGGAGGCTAGGACTTGAGCGGGTGGGATTTAACCCTCCGGATGCGGGGGATGAAGCAGGAGGTACCGTGTAGGAGCCTCCCTGCTTGTAAATCACAGCAATGCCTGGTGTTCGTGCAGAGCAGAGCCCGGCAGGAGAGAGGTAGCGATGCCCAATCTGCGCGCGAAGCTGCCGCCACCAGTGGCGGTGCTGAGACCTGGGAAGATGCTCGTCTGGGGCCTTCCCTCCCGAGCCGGGGGCTGCTGGCAGCCGTGGGAAGCAAGGGGAGGCTCCCCGCTGGCCTTTGGCCTCCGCAGCCTCCCCATCCATCTCGCGTCCTGTCCCCTCAGTGCTCCGAGTCCCGCAGGTCCTTGGGAGCTGCTGGTTTGTTCTCTGCAGGCCGGTTTTGCGCCAGCCCTTCCCGTGGCTGGAGCCTTCTCCTGTAGGGCCGCCCCGGGGGCTCCGCTGCCCTTCCAGGACGGTCCTGGGGAGCTCCAGGGCGCTGCGCCCTGGGGAGAGGCAGCAGCACGAGGCCTTGGGGCTGCCCCTTGGGAAGGGGTTTCCGTGCCTTGCTCTGTGCCCTGCTCGTGGCCCTGGCGGGCGTGCGGGGCCGCGGCCCCGGGCCGATGAAAGGCCGTCCGTGTCCGTCCGCGCGTCCCGCGGGCGCTCACGGCACGAGGGATCCGTCGGGGCTTGTGTGTCCATCCGATCGCTGCGACAGGCCGGCTCGAAATGCTCCTCCCGGGAGCTGCTGGGCTCGTTGCTAAAGCTTGTGCGGTTGAAAGTCTGGATGTGTGTGGGAAACAGTTCGGGTCTGGAGTTCAACATCTGCTTTTCCTGGAAAACAATTTTAAAAATTAACACGTTTATTTCCTTTTTAATCTACTGTTTTTGGAGGGAAAAATAACTGTTTGTACTTTTAGATTTTAAAAGAAAGTAGTGTCTGTAGCATTTGTGCTTGTTTATTTGCACTCGTGTGTCACTGAGTTTTGAAAATTGTGTTTGTGAATCTTCTGCTATAGAGACTTGAAGTACAGAGCAGCAAGCAACAGAGCTGCGTTCTGGCACCTCTGTCTTTTTTAAATACAGTCCTTTAAGTATCACTTAGGCTAAGCCTGCCTTAGGCTCAAACTCATGTCCTCAGGTGCAGAAAAAGTGAATTATATTTTGATATACAGTGCAGTTTGAAAAATGGCTTTATATCTACTGATTTCAGTTAGTTTGTTGCTTGACGAAGTGCTAACCTTCATTTTCAGTTGTGGAGGGTGCTGCGTTTCCTGCGTGTGCCTTCTCGTTCCTTCGTTCGTGTGCGCTCCCGTTCCACGAGGTGTCCGCAGGCTCGTTGCCCTGACTGCCCTCTCTCCTCCGTGCCCAGGTGGTGCCAGCCTGCCCGTGTGCGGCCGGGCGCCGCGAGGCTCG